GCAACCCATGACGTCACAAGTCAGGTCAAAGGTTGCATTTTCTCACCGATTTAGTCTAAGGAATGCGTTACAGTCAGTTAACACATCAAATAAAAGGCATGTTATCGAAAAATATCGATGGAGCGTGGTTGACCAATACATATGTTGCCTAAAGAGGTCACTGATGCCAGGTCAGGTCAAAGAGGTCAGGTCACTAAGGGTCACAATATGAACCTAACTATGCTAATTGCTAGGGTCGCGTGATGCATGTTTTATGGTCAATTTTACATTTAAAATTCAATGGTGCGGGCTAGACGGCCATTGGGGCCGGTTTAGATTACGTTCTGGTGGAGGTCAGGTCAAGGTCAGGTCAAAAAAGGTTAAATTTCAGAGTTGATATTTTGCATAAAAGGGGTATCTATTCGATGCAGCTCATCACGGGAAATCCAATGGTGGTCTTTGGCTTGCTCTGTGTGTTCTGTGACGGCTAAAAATTGAGTTTGAAAATTTTACGTAATACATTTTGAGAAGTGTTTTTTTTGCCATAACTTTGTTATGGCAAAAAAAAATTAAGCTGTCGAGTTTAACCCTCGCCGGCACAGGGGGGTTGATGCAACCCCCCCCCCCCCTAAGGTTTTTCGCAAATGACTCGCGTAAAAAGCGGCCGATCGCGACGAAACTTTTAGTACCCTCGCATTGATCAATTTTACACCTATCCTGAAAATTTCATGACCCTGACCCAAATGACAGTTGACCTGTGACCTCTTTTCCGAGACCATGTTTGGCCGGAATCGCGATTCGGCGTATGTCGGCTCGCATTAGCCGCGCTTTTGCAAGCTTTTCGTGGTTTCAAACGTTCAAACATGTGATTTGATGTTGCTCCCATACATTAGGGTGGGTGTCAAGGTCACCTGAAGGTCAGGTCAGGTCATTGACCTTTGGTGACCTCCGGTGACCTCGGTTCACTTTTTCGAGTTTTACATGTTTTTAGGCTAGTTTTTGGAGCTGAATTCGAATTTAGCAACCATTTGAACATTTATGAAGTAGTTTTGGTGCCTTCGTAACATGTTACGAAGCTGTCAGAGGCGGTTGACACGTATTACGAATACCCGTCACAACCCCTTCCGGTTGACCTGACCTGACCTTACCCGACCTGGTCTAAATGCTTAAAGACATCATCTCTGATCAAAACTAACACGATATTCGTGATCAGCACCCCGGAAAACCACATAGCAGCCACACTTCACGACTTTTTAACAAGTCCCGATTTTCCCGGTTTTCGGGTCATTGACCTGACCTGGAAGGTCACCCGATGACCTAGGAACTTAAAATTGGGTATCATCGGCTTCCTCTCGTGACGGGCAACACGCTCGTTTTTTCCGCGAAGCTCTAGCTCGATCAGGGGCCAAACGCGAAGGGGGGTCGTACCCCCCCCCCCCCCCTTGTGCCGTCGAAGGACGCAAAATGGCCTGTGCCGGCGAGGGTTAAGTTTGGCATATCTAGAGCAGATAGTTCTATAACATATATTCCAGCTTTAATTTTGAATGTTGTTGTTATTTTCGGGCTGTTATACTTCTATAGTTTTGATGGTCGAAATCAATTTTTGTTTAGAAATTAGAGTTGGCAGTTTTGTAGCGCTGTTTATTTTACATCTTTTTTATCTTGAATACCTATTTTTTGTTATCTTCAAAACTGTAAGCGTGACAGCTCTTCCTGCTAAACCTTTTATTGGTTCGAAAATGACAGAACATGACGTCACTCTGACGTCATTTGTGACTAACCTTTCATAAGAGCTCTGGAAAAATTGGGTCACAAGGTGTAAAATGATGCCCGGAGGGGTCTTGAAAGTTCGGTGGCGACCTACGCTATTCTTTAGGAGATATCGGCTGAAAAGGAGAGGGGGCTGTTTCGCGCCCCCCTCCCCCCAACGGGGCTCGAGGCTTTCAGTTGTTGCTCTCACATAACTCTTGGTTATATTACAACGTAGCGGAATTGCAAGCTTGGCAATATAAGCTTCCTGCCAGCGCCGGACCCGAGTTTAAACATGCAGGCTGAATTTTAACATTTGACTTTTAAATTTTTACCGTTGAGCTTTTTAGAAGTTGTATGAACTGTTCAGCTCCTTTTTTGGTCCATCACAGCGGGCTTGTATGTCATTTGTCAATCAAAATCGAATTAAAAACTTTTTATTGGGTCTGGTTATCTCGCCAACTTCTTAACTGAATCGTTTAGTAGCTTTTGATTGGGCACTGCCCACGTTGTCTGTCAAACTTTTCGTGTCAACGAGAAGAGGCTGCTGACATCGTTTGTCGCGGTTAGATAATACCAATCCACGTCTCAGTGTGGCTGCTCGATCGCACTTTCCCTGGCCCACCTCTCCCACCAGGCTGGGCTTTGCCCGGCACAGCCGTCGCCTCAGTGCCTCGGGCGGTGACCCGTTCAAAGGGGCTCACAATTCGTATGGTGCCGTGGCTCTCAAACCAACACAGAACAGTGAAACGCACAGGCTTACCTTCCATATAAGGCGAACGGCTGATTCTGGCGCCGGGGCTTCATTCATGCTAAAGCGCCCAATCACAGCGCCGCATTTCAGTTAGTGTCGGGCGCAAAAGCTACTATGCTCCGCCCCTCCATCACGTGACCCTGCCCTCACGTGGCCTCAGTCACGTGGTGTTTCCACTCCTTGGCGCATGGCGGCGCTAGTCTCGCAAGGGCGGTGGTAGCTTGCTCCCCCGCCGTCCGGGGGTGATGGGTAGCAAGTGCTGGTGACTGTACCCCCTCGAAATTTCGCACGTGCAAGGCCCACCCTCTCGCTCGCTCCGTTAGTCGCCCCATAAGGCGTTATACTGGTCTATTTTGAACCATTTCTCATTTTCTATTTACTATCAAATGTCAATTATTTTCAACAAATATAATGCATTATAAAAAGTAATGTATCTCTCCCCTTTTGTACATCAATTAAGAGCAAAAAACCTCAAATTGCTTTATTTCTTCCTATTTAACAATTAGGGATGGTGGCCGTTCCCCATACAATGAACAAAAATGTTTGAAAAATATTTGTTAGTGTTAAAAATCCATTATTTGGCATTGTGGCAAAGTCACCCCTTTTTCAGTTTAACTTTGCCACGACTCATTTTCTTTAAAAAATTGTATTTTTAGGCAAGATATAAATACGATAATAGCAAAACCCAAAGAGCTAATCTTCATCCGTGTTTTGAATATAGAGTCATCCCAATAAGTTAACAAGTTTAAATAATACAAGCGTCTAAAGTTGAAAACATGGCAAAGTCACCCCCGTTTACGGTACCTCATAAGATAGGCTTTGTTCGGGCCAATTCGGGCTCAGGATGGTTTTACGGTGTTCTAACTTCTGAGCTAACTTAACCCGGCCGGGCCCGGGGGGTAATCCCAACCACCGCAGCCCGGGGGGAGGGCGTTTTTCGCCCCGCCCCCTGTCTAACTCCGTAAATAAGGGAGCTACGGAAACAAAAGCGATACCAAACGAAATTTCCTTACGAGACGATTCTAAAGCACCTAAAATATTTGACCTCAGGTCAATTTTCAAGGTCAGAGGTCAAGGTCAAAGGCAAAAACCGGCACATGTGTAGTGATCTCAAAGTAAGCCTTCTAGAGGACCGCAAGCTGCATCAAACCGGCAAAATTGGGTGTCAAACGAAAGAAGAGAATCTGAGGATTCCGAAAATGTGCTCAAAATCAAAGATCAAGGTCAAGGTCACGCTCAAAATTGACCTCAAACTTGGCATTTTTCGCACATCTTGCGTGCTAACTTCCAAGATGTTTTGAAATGTTTTGAGGCTTATCATTTCCCTATTTTGGTTCATTTTACGATACAAGGCTGCTCAAAGGTCAAGGTCACAGAAGAGTATCCCTGCCAGTGGCTATTTCACTAATACAAGTTAGTAAAAATAAATAAGACAATTTTACCATCCAGAAGCTCTAAATGAAGGCTTAGAGGACAATAGATGCCAGAATCGTGATCAGCGGGTACAAATCCATCAAAAACGACCTTTCATGTGTCAAGGTCAACCAGAGGTCATTCGAGGTCACATGAGGTCAACATAAAATTTGACCTTTTCCGAACAAAATATATATCATTCGACGCGGCTTGACAAAACAAATGCGATGGTACCACTGCCGTAGCTCTAGGACCATTTTTGTTGAAGTTATTTGCGAAAAACTAAAACCACATTTCGGGGTCGTTGACCTGACCTCTGACCTCAGGTCACCAAAACTATTTTTCTATTTTTCTCTAGGTCAAACGCTACACATCCCTGCTCGTAACTTGTCTTTATCTCTAAAACTCCATTTTTAGCAGCTATTTGAAGTTTGCGTCTGTGACGCCGAAGTTTGCCGTGCAGGGGTCTAGAAAAATGGACCTTGTGACGTCATCAAGGGGGCTAGGTCCAAATTTTTTACTTCAGAAGATGTCAAATTGATGGGAAAAAAGGTACTGAAAGTTTCGCTTTCCTATCCCAAAGCGTTCGGGAGCTACCGCAAATATTCGCCAGGGGGGGAGACGAAAAACGCCCCCCCCCCCCGGGCCCGCGAGGGTTAATAGCCAGGTTTATGCCGTGCCCACCAAACGTTATATTGTATAGAAAAAGTCCATGAATCGTCCCTTTCGAAGTGTAACGAAGCTGCTGATGGCAGTGGCAAATCCATTTCGAATTATGGTTAGGTCTTGTGCTATATGTAGAACCGCAGGCCGCGCTCGATAGCATATATATAGTCTGGTAAGCCCGATAAGCTTACCCGGCTTACAGCACGATATAATTTCCCAGATGACTTGAACCCGATTTTCAATGGTCGAATGAATAAAAAAAAAATGAAACACATCCTTAGACCTCAAATTTGATACAAACATATACAGCAAAGTCCACGATCAAAAACTGTGGTCCACGAACGCCGTATTTCGTAAAAGCGAGCTTCAATTTCGCGGTGTCCAGCTCATACCTGTTCACTCAAGATAGCTCAGCCATTTATATTTTGCTGTGTTTCAGATGCCAGCATGCAGCGTGTAGACAATAGCGCTGAGGCCATGACACCTGATAGACAACACTCAGCAATTGCAGCCCAACAAGTGATCGAACAACGGTCTCTGGACGACGCTACCCTTCTCGCATGTTACGACGGTCAAGGATATAAGCCACTACCTGCGGGGGTGTACTACATACAGTCACCCAACTACAGACCAGGCAATCCCGGCAATTATACCAATAATTACGAATGCATGTACAAATTCAAGGCGGCTGACAACAAAAGCAAACTACGGATTGACTGCTTCTTTTTTCAACTAGAAGGCGATATGCCAGATTGTGTTACAAAAGACTACCTATACTTTCAGACCGAAGACCTATTTGCGGCCTATTGTGGAAAAAACATACCGAAAACGATGCTCTCGAGGTACGTGTATGCTTTTTTCCACACCAATTCGGAAATCACCGACAAGGGCTTCTTCTGCACGATTATGTCCAAAGAGGCGTTGGCCGGCTCCGGCGGCCTACAGTGCGGCAAACATAACCTTGCACCGGGAACGTACAGCCTCCTCAGTCAGAACTACCCCGACAACTACGGAACCAATATCTACTGCAAGTGGGAGCTGGTAGCCAGCGATCCGTCAAACACAGTGGACTTCAGCTGCAGCAGCTTTGACATGATCTCCTGGGACAACTCCTGCGAGTGGGACTGGATGAAGGTTGACGGCGTCCGCCACTGCAACAACAACAAGCCTGCTCCGCAGCAGTTCACGGGCGGCGTCACCGTGGAGTACTCCACACCAGACCTGCCTCACAAAACAAGAAAGGGATTCAAATGCACTGTTACTGTTAAATAAAAAGGAAACAGCATATAACTACGAACCCAACAGAGTGAATGTGCGCATTCATGCGGTTTTACTAGAAATGACGCCCGTCGCAAAGTCTCAAGCCTCTTAGAAATGTCCGGTTTTGTTACGTTGAGTTTCAGATAAATTTTGCTTCCGTATAAGTTATTCCTTTCATAGACTTTACGGAGTGCTTAACTAAGAAACACCAGGCTCCTCACTTTTTCATCACCTTTTTACGATATTGGCTATGGGGCACAAATAAATGCAATGGCATGCAAGCCCTTATCTTTTTGGACGACCAAACAAATTAATTGCATGCTACACAAAATGATAATATGCGTGTTGCAGAATGCGGCGATGAGTGCGTATGCTAAATGCAACAGCGGATTGCTGGCATAGGCTTGCATCGATAATTATCGCTGAATTATCGTCATAATTTAGTATCAGTATGCATACCTTATGTATTCTCATGGAACGGTCTTTAATCTAGATAGTTTTGTTTATTGATGTCTCATCTTTGTTGGTGGTGGACTTTCCGCGTTGTGAATTAAAGGGTGCTGAGAGTTAATGTGTACGAGTATTATTTTCTCATTCATTGATTTCCTTCATTGAGATTCAGACGCGCAACCGATTTCACCGTTTTCCCTTACATTCTTTAACCCGCGCCCTGCTGGGGGGGGGGGTGTTTGAACACCCCCCCTTGCGGTTTTTCGCGAATATTTCAAAAACGGCGGCGCGGAGCGCCGCCGTTTTTGGTACACCTTATCATACATCAGTTCTACACATGTTGTGAAAATTTCAGACCAAGGTCATTCAAGGTCAGGTCACCAGGTCACTTGAAGTGACCTCACCTCATAAAAAGTTTCAATGTCTGTCATAGCTACACCGAGTGACCGATCGCTTTGAAACTTTCAGCGATTGCTAAGAGCAATAGCATGTACAAAATTTATATCTCAGAATTTTGATATCGATGACCTAAGGTCAGGTCAATTTTGCGACCTCCCCATTATAAGTCAATGGGAGAAAATTGAAATGCGCCTCCTTTGGACGAAAGACATTATAAACACTCCCAAACACTGAATTACAAGTGGTTTAGACACACTGAACATGAAAATGGTGTCCGTGACCCCTGTTTATGCCCTGAGGTCATCTTAGGTCACGAATGGTATCTAACAGTTTTTCGCAAATAACTTTTGATAGAGGCATGCTAGAGCGATGAAAACGCCTTATATGTGTTCAGCTCGACGATACGGATCGACTGATATGCAACATGACCCTTTCCGGTCAGGTCATGACCTTGACCTGAGGTCAAATTTTCAAGTTGACCTTTCAAGGTCAAGTTATAGTTCATTCGATGCGTCTTGACGAGAGGAACACGATGCTGGTAAAAGTAAGCTCGTACAAGGCTTGGGTCAAAAGTTATTGCAGAAAAACTGTTTCCGAAAAAATCGGCTATTTTTGCAGTTTTTGCCCCCTGCAGGCAAAACCGTTGACGTTAGGTCAAATCTGAGAGAATTACTCAGAAAGGGCGTTAATAGGGCTATCGAATGCGCTTTTCCGCGGCGCTGTAGCTCTATTGGTTCCCGAGTTATGCGTTGGCTTCTTGGAAATTGTCGACATTCGACCTGGAAATCGGCGAAATTTTGCCTTCAATGACCTCTGGTGACCTGACCTTTGACCTGACCAAAAAATTGACCGAAGTGATTTCCCCATTATTTTTGACGCTCTTTCGAACGCCGCCTTCCGCGTATCGCTACGTGGCCCAGGAGCCGAGTTAGAAGTGGGGGGTGTTCAAACACCCCCCCAGCAGGGCGTGGAAATCCAGGACCCCCAGCCGGGCGCGGGTTAACATTTCCCCGCCAACAGAGTCGCTTACCATCTCTGCCCCTCCCCAAGCCCAGATAAACCCATTCTATAAACAATTTCGCCCCGGTCCCGGCGCATTCAGCACACAGTGCGTCGCGCCGTCCCACCGTGCGCCGCCAGGTGAGAGTGGCGGGCGGCGCGCGCGGGAGGTCAGCCGGTGGTGGTCGGTGGGGCGCCGGCCGCTCCGCCTCCGCCGACCGGCGTCAGTGACACGGCCAGAGCCGGACTGGACGCGCGGGGGACCGCGGCGCGCTGAGGTCGCCGGCGGAGACCACGGTGACTCGTGACCCGTGATTCGTGACTCGTGATTCCGTGATCTGGTGACCGTGACTCGGTGCGCGGTGTGAGCTCGGAGCGGCCGCGGTGTGCCAGTGATGGCCCCGGGAGGAGGGTACCCTCCGGCGGGGTCGGCCCCTCTGCTGAGGTGGCTGGTCACCGTGACATTGACGGTGACGGCGGCACGGTCACAGGCGGTCAGCAGCTCAGTCGCAGGTGAGCGAGATGCGGTCGAATCGCCGAGCTGCACTCTCACATCGAAAAGACTTCGGACTTTTCATAACATTTCCTTCGTCACTTACATCCTGGAATGAAGAAATGTTCGCACTTTCCTCGAAATTATAATTGAGACAGATTACGAAATTTGCCTAGAAATCGGACATTGCTTTTCCGCTTTTTTAGGAGGAGGAGTTGTGATCAAAATTGAACGTTCAGCTGCGTTGCGTGCAGGACGAGCACAAGGCCGCGCAACATAATTGCAACAGTCCTCCAGTCACCAACTTAAAACCAGTTATGATCTCAGCTGCTTGTCGTGTTTGTTTCAAACCAGAAAATATATTATTGACAAACAACAAAGGCACATTTTGCTCTCTCCTTCACGCCGTAATCCGAGGATCGGCGTTCCACCCATCCCGGCCATCCTACCCTCCTCAGCACGGCCCAGGTGTAAGGCTCACAATAGGTTCCCCTGGCGCCCAGGGTACGGGGTAGTGGGAGGCCCCAGAGAGGGGCGTTTTTGTTCCACGACCTTAGCAGCACCGGGGAATGGGTTGGGTTGGCTTCATAGCGTCGCATTCCCTCCTGTGTGGACCGCCGAGCGCGGTAAAGGCATTGGCCGTGGGTGTGTTGCGGGAGGGGATTGTAAACAAATTCCATACCCGCTTACTTGTAATTATTCATGGCGCTTTGAATTCTGAACTCTGAAGCGTATGATTTTATGTACCGTATTTTTTGCGCTATGGTCTAAAAAATACGCTTTTTTTATTTTTTTAAAGAAATACACCGCCACCCATTAATAGGTGACCAGGAGTGCCCCCACCCTCGAACCCAACGACACACAGAACCTTGCGTTAACACCAAAAAACAAAAAGAAGCAATGTCGTGGCACTCCCTGCTAAGAAATGGAGAAAAACATAAAAGTAAACCAAGAAGGCAGCAAGGAATTAGGCAAGGCTCAGTAAGAAGTCAGAAAGTAGTCAATGTGCTCATAAGCCACTGACTGGCCCCCCACTACGATCCCGAAATGACTGTCTATATAAGAAAGGCATGCAGACATGGGGCAGAGAAGAAAGGAGGGATTAGGCATTGAGTGAAATAACCAAGACATGCAATATACTTTTATACTCCAGAAGTTTTTCCACGGGTAGGTGAGGCTCTGGTCAGGTTCACGCAAAGGTCATTGTTAAAGCACAGGGTGGCCCTCAGCTAAGCGGAGCTTGTTGCCGAGAGGCCCTCCTGCCTCTAACATCATCTGTGGGTGACTATTTGGTACTATTTTGTATTATGTTGTGTTATTTTGTGTTATATTAAGTATATACTATATGTGATAAACTTCAACATAAAGTACTCTATGACTTGACTGTATGCGTATACAATACATTTGTTGTAAGTTATTATATTTATTAGCAATGTGCGTATTTATTTGCTAGGTGACTGTTTTGAGGTATTTTGTATTATTTTGTGCTATTTTTTGTTATATCCACTATATGTGATAAACTCTCCTATCACACAGAGTAACATGTAGTTGCTTTTAGTATTCCGCAATTATTAGTTGTTTTGATGTTTCTTTGATTTTCTGTTTTGATACTCGTTCAGTTTTGGCATGTGGAAAGAGTGGAGTTATCATAGCATTCCAAATTCTTGGACCAATCCATGTAATCGTATGGGTGCGGTAAAGTTTGGCAGTAAACGGCTCAAGGAAGTGTTTAACTCTTCTGTTTTCTCTATGGGTGGGGATAGCAGGATGGAATAGAGATTTAATTGATGATGGTGCATTTCCATTGAGAACATTATGCATGACAGCTATTGTTTGTTGTTTAGGAATATCTTCTAGCTTAAGGATTTTATGTTTTGCAAATAGAGGACTGCTGTGAGTAAGCCTCGGTTTATCATCAATAATTCGAATAATTTTTTTCTGGAGGTTTACAAGTTTTGCTAAGTGTGTTTTCGGGGAGTGTCCCCATAGTAAGCAGCAGTAGTTAAGATAGGGCAAAATCAAAGCATTATATAACATGAGTCTGTGTTTTTGTTTCAGAAAGTATCTAGAGCGATTGATGATTCCGATATTACGGCTTACAATTTTTGAGGTGTGCATGATGTGACTACTCCATTTCATGTCGCTATCAATAAGGACACCAAGGTATCTTATTGTTTGCGATTCTTCAATTATTGTTCCATTCAGCTCAACATTAATTGTTGGTTTGGTTGTATGGTTGCAATATAGCTGAAAACAGGTTTTGTTAGCATTTAAGGATAATTGATTTGCCTCTAGCCATCTACACACTTTTGGGAGTTCCTCATTTAAGAGTGATTGTAGCTCATTTGATGAATGTGCTTGGAAAAGAAGTGTTGTATCATCAGCATAGAGAAAAGGCGTGAAGTTAGAGGAAATTTTAGGAATATCATTGATGAAGAGGATGAAAAGGAGTGGCCCAAGTATAGAGCCTTGTGGGACACCCATTTCTATTTTTTTCAGGCTAGATCTAGCATCTCTAAGTTTGACGTATTGATGCCTGTTTGATAGATATGATTCAATAATGAGGAAAAGTTTATCTGTAATCCCATACTTTTTAAGTTTTTTGCAGAGTATTGAATGGTTTACCGTGTCAAATGCTTTTCTAAGATCTAGAAATATTCCACAAGATAGCATGTTATTTTCAAATCCCTCAAGTATCATATTTTGGATAAGCAAAAGAGGCATGTATGTTGAATGTCCAGTTCGAAAACCAAACTGATTGGGGCATAGTATATTGTTTACTTCAAGATGTGATGAAATTCGACAATATATTATCCTTTCAAGTATTTTGGAAAGGTAGGGAAGGATACTGATTGGCCGATAGTTATTTAGTTGTGTCTTATTGCCAGATTTGTACACAGGTTTTATAACAGCAACTTTAAATATTGTTGGAAATGTTCCACTTTTAAGACATAGATTAATGAAGTACACCAACTGGTCTAAGATTACGGTGAATGTTTGTTTAAATACTTTGGCATTGATATTATCAAAGCCAGATCCAACATTTTTCATGCTCTTAATAGTGTTTATGAGTTCATCTTTATTTGTGAGTTTAATGGTACAGGTGGTTGATGGACATTCTTCAACAAGTGAAGGAAAATTTTCATTTTGATTGAGTAAATCTTTCTGAATCTGTTTCCCAATGGAACCAAAGTAATCATTGAATTTGTCTGCTATTTCAGATTCTT